AAGAAAACTAAGCCTTTGGCATTTTATTGAGCACCTACATTCATATGACTGGCAAGGAAAGTAATAACAAATCATAATAAATGCCACAGAAAAACAATGTCAACCTGTTGGATCAAGCAGGACTGAAAATCACCAACTCATTAACTTTTTTTTTGTGAGAAAATATGTATAGCTGTCCCCACACTGTCAAGGTTAGACACAAGTAGCTTATGTTTCTTATGATAATTTTTGAACAGCACAAATTGTTGCATCCCCCAAAATATTAAACTCCTTAAACGATTAGGAAGGTTATTGAAATAAGTTGTTTATGCAGCAGAATGCATTATTGAGTAATGTTGAAGAGGCATCCAAAGAGAGACTCAGTATCTCCAAAACAGAAACAACAGCTTACTTCTACTTTTTCTTACAGAAGTTTAGAAAGAACTGCATTAAAGTCAACCGGTATTATTTAAAGGAGCTTTTCCAAAAGGTTCTCTGTTTTATAAATACTTGTCAGCATAGTAACACAAGAAATGTCTCATGAAACAGAAAAACTCATTTTGCTTTGGTCAAAATAGAAAAAAATTTAACACTATGAACAGTTCTGTTTCATTCCTGAAGCTATACAGTGGGCAAAGTACCATTTTAGTGATCCCATCTGCATTCTGTCTATGGAGATCTGATTGATAATGTTTTTCCAACACAGATGTTAACAGATAACAGCAGAATAACAGAAAAAGAATAAAGCAGTACTCAGCAGTAAACCAAACCAAGATGCTTTGCATATCAGGAATGACTTCCCCCACAGCTGACTGCTGCCTCTAGCCTCTGAGCAAAAGGAAACTCTAGTATGGGCTTGTACCATTTACAAGCTTCACAATTTGCTGCCAATTTGTAGAAACCAAACTAAACTTCTGGCAGGACTCTTACATGCCATAGTAGTTAAAGAAAGTATCGTCCCACCCTGATTTTGACTACAAGCCTTGAAAGATTAGTCTAAAGTTTCTTCTTAAACTCCTATTCTCCTTACCAAATATAAAATTTAATGAAAAACTTCAAAACCTTAATTCTGGACAGTGCTACTCTGGTGCTTACACTGAAGTAAACGACAGTCACTTCACAAGCCCCAGTTAAACTTTTCTTATTCCTTCTTCCTCACCAAAAAACCTCAGCAACAAAAGTCTTCACTCTAATTAAAAGCGAAAAGCTAGCACACAGACCTGGTGCACTAATGTTTCACAGCTGCATGCAAAGCTGCTCAGAGACACCTGCTTATTTTCACAGCTGTTCTTTTTACTCTTTATCATTCTATCCCTTGAGGTTGGATGAGGCAGAATAAACTAGACCATTTCAAGAAACCGTGTTGTATTTGTACACCCCCCCTTAACTAGAAGACACAAATCACCATTATGCAACGTTGTCCAGTTGCTATAACAGGAAGCAGGAATCAACCACGCTATGAAGTCTTTGTAAAGCATAGCTTTCAGAAAGTTCCCTGGTTGTGTTTAGCTCAACGTCCAGACATAACTTGAGTATCGAGTGCCAAATGACCATGTATGCTAGACAATCTGAATTCCTGAACTGCTAGTAGTGCTTTTCAGTACCTATGTAGTACCTACGTAGTAGTTTAATTCTTGTTGAGTCCAGGAGCAACTGGGGAAAAAGGGCAAGAGCTGCAAAAGTCAAAGGTGCTCCTTACCAGACTCAGTGCATCTGCTAACTGGAAATACTGAGCCTGTTAGCAGAGGTTAGGCTGCCAAGTAATCTTATACTGAAAACATGCTTCATGTATCCTCTGTGTCCAAAATCTGACTTTACACTGACACTGTACCTCCCAATAATACTGACAAAGCTCAGTACAGCACAGCTTCTGCCCTCCCACTACATTTCACAGCAGAACCTTGGGGGTTGGGTAGTCAGAGTATTCAAGAGGGAGGCAGGGAATGAAAACTAAATTCTCCCAGCTCTAGGTGAGAAATTAATAATTTTGTATCCCATATAAAAACGTTACTAGCAACAAAACCGAAAGCAGCCTCCCCTCTCTAGATGTGCTTTGTAAGAATGACTTTGGAACCCAACAAAATAAAAAGATTCAGCTTTGATTTGCAGGTAGCGGTACATGGATTCTTCCTGCACCAGAAAGGATGAATCCTTGAAAGTGCACCTAAATTTGTAAGTTTTCGATTGCCATCACAACAGCCCAACTCCAAGAAAAGGAAAACCTTCACACAGATGAGCCAGGATGTGTCCCGGAAGTGTGGGTGGGAATAGGTGGGCGGTGGGCAGCAGGAGAGAGGGATGTGCTGTGATGCATCCAGCAGCTCAGCTGAGTATTCACCAAGGACCAGGTTGATTGTCACATCTTTTCTCAAAACTCCTTGGAGGCCACTGTTGGTAACTGCCTGTCCATCACACTCAGTTCTGTGGACAACAGTCATAGGCACTCAGGACATTGTCAGACAGTCACCTTAGTTCACCTGAACTGGCATTGCTAGTGAAAGATTCAGACCATGCTTCATTTGCCCCACTTATACCTGTCTCAGTCTCCTCTTACTTCAGGCTGAACTGAATGCAGTACCTGCCTTACTAGACTGAAAATGCAGTCTGTTGTTTCTGTGGTTGGCAGCACAGTTTTTGCCATGATCCATTCTGGAGAACTGCACAACTGGGGAAAGGAGGAAAGAGCAAACATGAGGTAAGAGAGGTGACCAATTTTTTTGTGGTGATCATGCAGCCACAGTTTTGCTCTTCCAACACTGTGCACAGGGATGCAATACAGACACCTAGTTCAAAGCTAGGGCTGCTGAAGTGGTCAGTCATAAAAAATAGTTGTTTCACCATGCTGAGTGGCAATTCCTACATACTCTGGGCTGTTTACAACTTTTGTTTTATGTTTATACTCTGTTTTCAGGTAACTGCCATGTTTATAATCCCTGCTCATAGTCTTGAGACCTCTCGTAAGCCATGCCAAAGATTTCTTTTATTAGCTACCAAAAAATTCTAGCACATTTGCTGATTCTGACATTTTCTACAACAGTGACATGACACCTCTAAAACAGTTATAACAGAGATAACAGTGGCCATGAGATTTCTGAACTGTAAGGAAAATAAATGGCTTTGGAAAGAGTAAGAATTTATAGACTTTTATTCATTCTTCTGTTCCAATGAATGGGTGTTTTGAGGATATGTCCTAGCAACTTCAGTGTACTATTAGCATTTTCCATATGAGCATCTAGCTCTGAAATCTTTAGTTTGTCACTAATTTAACTGAGATGATGCAGCAACCATATCTGTCTACCATTTGTTCCACATTAATATTTTCTTTCTGCTTAAACTAGCCTGTATGTGCAGAATGTTTATGCATTCCAAAACAAACGGGTTTAATGAATTTCTCTTTTTATTCTCTCATGGTACTCTTGCTTTAAGACACTTCTAGCGAAGAAGAGGCAGATAAGATTCAGTAAACTGAACTTCTCTATGAAAACAGGATGAGAAAGACATGCCTAACGGGCAAAAGGGAAAGATAAAATTTCTTGCATGTACTTGTTTCTAGACAAAAATATTTGGCAGCAGGTACACAGCATCAAGTAAGAACAACTAAATGACAACATATGCCAAGACTGCAGTCTCAATAAAACCTGTTATTATTCAAATTAATGCCAACATAGTATGTTTCTATGTTAAACAGCATTTCTAGTCACCACAACTAAGATGTTTGTGTATGTGCATGTGTGCATGTACATTTATTTATATAGCTTCTAAGAGCTAAATGTTTACTTATTTCTCATTTTGGACTACCACGCAGGCTAAGTATTTGACCAAATAAGTATTTGGCAGAATTCACCTCAGTTTTCACAGTTATTTCACCCTATGGCTGAGAGTAGCTATGACAGCTCCTTGAGATTCACTGCAAGATGAGTGGATCTATACGTAACTGGCAGCTTTGCATAATGAGGCCCTGTTCTTCAGCCTGTCCTATTATGATGTGACAGCCTTCCCTGCTGTTATGAAAAAGGCTTTGACCAGGAGAGGATTCTCCCATCAAAGTGTGATCCAAGGTTTCTCCAACTAATTTCTGCAGTCAAACCAATGTTCTTTTGAAGCTGACTCCCAGCTTGCACCAGCTGCATTCTTCTGCAGAAAGTCTGTGGGTTTGTAAGGAAAAGACAACACAACACCAAAAGCATTTCAGTTGCGTGAAGGACAAAGTTTCACCCCTTGTAGTTTCTCTTGTGCAGGCAAACAATACTAAATGCTTTCTACAATTGAAAAAAATGACCCAAACTTCAACAAAACAAAATGCAGTCAGCATGTTGACAGCTAGTATGATTCTCCTTCCTCCAACTGATGCAATTTTACAGAAAGGTACTTCTTTTTCCCATATATCTAGTTTTGAAATGTTGCCAATAAATAACTGCCCTCAAATACCCGTGGGTGCAGGGAGGTGCCCTGCTTCCTGAGGTGATGTGTCCTCTCAGAGTTTACCCCAGCCACCAGAACAGCACATCGAAAGAGCAGAGCTGGAATGGGAATTATCATAGAGCAGAGCTCTGAAGGGGAAATACGTCATTCACTAAGATACCTCCAGCTAGTCATGTGACACAGATACTATAATCTGGCAGAATTGCCACTTCTGGTTTTATAAGTTTCTATTCCACTCCACAACAAAATCTCCAAAATCTCCACAGTATCACTTCAAAAGACATCATTAAAGGAAAAAAAACCCCCTCCATTAACCTGTCCACTTCTTCAATACACAAAATCTACAAAGTTCAAGAGAATCAGAAACTAAGACAGTTGTCACACGTAATAACTCCCCAAAAACTCAATGAAATGACATCTAAGAAAAGTAAATCGCCTCTTCCTTATATTATGCCTCTCTGAGGGATAGTTCATTTCACACACCCAGAACTCTGACACTACTTTTTATGTGTTTTCAGACAGCTTCAAATACTTTCAAATAGCTATACTGTGTACATGGGAAAAACAAGAACATGTACTTCACAAATATTTTAATGCAAATCATTCTGCTTTATGAGGAATCAAGTTTTGTAGACTTTTGCAGAAGAATTAGTACTTTCTACCTGATATTGAAAATGTCAAGAATGTCACAGTGCCTTACTTGTTCTCATTGCTGGCATCGTATCGAGGCATAGGATCAAAATCATTTCCATTGACATCAAAACTGGCTTGCGAATCCTGTACCCAACAAGAGAAAGAAAATCAGTTTCTCATCAATTAGCCACTGATCATGTGGCCTATAAATTCTTCAGCAGGTTCCTACAAGAGAGTAATTAGACTAACTAACATTCCTGTGGTTTTACGATGAATGTGTGCTTTAGGAAAGGATTACATATTTAACAATTATGGGATATTTTTTTATTTTTTTGTTAAACAGAGAAAGATAACAAATGCTCCGAAGAAGTATAGTTCCAGCATCAGAGAGGAAATAGAAAGTGGTGTTTTATTTAACCCAAAGACTACATTTCTTCTAAGAACCTTTCAGAAGTTAAGAGACTTCATTTTCAAAATTGGGATTTTGCTAAATGTTTTAAGTTTCAAGAAATTATTTGCACAATGATGACTGAAATTTCAACCATAGTTTCAAGGAATAATATAATTTTCGTAAGAATTTTGTTATAAAATTACACATTGAAATGCAACACAAATTGCATTCTTATTTCCCTGGTAGTATAACTGTTTCAAGTATCTGCAAGATATCTGTCTTTTTGTTCCATATTTACCAGGATTCTTACAGCTGAAAATAGCTTACAGAGTAAACAGCTGCTGGTTTGTATGGCTCCCACTAATTGATGTGGTAGCATGTGGCGTGTTGACACACGGCAAGCAGCTCTTTTTAATCTCTTCTTTGTTCAAAACCAGTTACCACATCCACCTCAAGTATCCTGTTTGCAGCCACACCACCTATAATCCAACATACAGAAGGCATTTGTGATCAAACAAGTAATGTGTATTGCTTTGGGCGAAGTGTTTGTTGGTGTGAGGAAAGGGAGAGAGAAGGTGATAAGGAAGTAAGTAGTTACTTAAAATTCAGAGGAAGGACAGTACTGGAATGAAGTGACATATGATACAATCTAGGTCATTCATTCAGGAGGTAAAATTATGTCTTGGTTGTTTAAATAACTTAAGATATTAAAATGAAAGATGTATGATGCATTAGAATCAAACATACATTGACAGACTGGGCAATTGCCTGTCACTTGTTTGTGCACTCCTTCAGTCTGAGTTCCATGTGTAGCATGGGGAAGGATATAGATGCAAATAAGGCTAATTTAAAATAAGTGGCTTTAAACTGTGGATACCACTGTAGGTTTTAATGGGTTGTTAAAGACGTTTTTGTCACCATCTCTTTAATGCTCTATCAAGATGATAATAAGCTCACTGGCAAAAAGCCCGTGTTCAAGGCTCTTTAACAAGACCTACATCTGCAGTGGTGGGAGTGAAGGTATATGAATGCCTTCTCTGGTCATCTTCACCAGTCCAGCTCAATCCAAATATATTTGCTTGTTGCCTTATCTTGTATGAATGTACACCTTGAAACTTTATGTCAGACAAATTATAAAATCTTCATGGTCACACACTTTCAGGTGATGTCTACTCCAAAAGGGTAGGACAAATCACTCCAGCAAATCATGGCCCTGACACACTGAAGAGCTTCAAGCTTTGACGCTAACACAAAAAGTCACCCACTAGATAAGAAGCTACTCCTCATGTTATCCAACCTCCAAGATATATTAAACCAATCATTTAAATGTGCAAGCAAACAGAAATCTCGAGGCAACATGAGACAAAGGACACAGAAAACAAAGGACACAGCTCTACCACAAATTGCGAAGGGACTCACTGGAGTTAAGAGAGATTTACTAGAAAGATTCCAAAATATTCTACACCTGTTTTTAACGGAGTGAATCATAACAGGTCATATATTGTCCCTTTAATATTGTTGCTAGCAGTAAGATAAATGCCTTTAAAAATTAAAATATGAAAGAATTACTGTAAAAATACTGTCTTTGAGAATAGCTACTGTCTCACTGCCTAAATGTATTGGCCAAGAATGGACTTCAGTTGCATCCATTAACTGAAAAGCAGTGTCTTCCATTTCTGAGAATGTGAGGATATTAAGTTAAAAAATTGCAAAAGAGAAAAAATGTCAATAAATTGTTCCATTCATTCAGAAATTCAGAACTCAGCTTCAAGAGGCATTCAGATATTAAACACGTTCAGATGGAACACAGCCTTAACTAAAACAATACAGATTACCAAAGACTGACTTCCTTTCTCCCATTGGTATTAACATTTGAGGAAACACTTGTATGATTCTTCCTCGTTCATATCTCCATCTTTCCAGAAGCAGCACATTTTTTTTGAGTAATAACAAAACAGCAAATCTGGACTCTTCTGGACACTCACATAATTCTGCATCAAGTCTGGATGGTTTCTTTCAATGCCATCATCCAAGATGGTGACTACAACATTCTTTCCAGTGTAACCTCTCTTCCAGGCAGCTACTATATTCATATCTGACTGACAATGGTGGGTGTTATCACTGCAGTGCTGTGGAGAGAAGAAGAGATACAAATGTTGGATGTTGCAGATTACTGAGCAGTCTGAGGTTGAGATATTATCCTACTTATGTTAACGTCACCATTTAAATCAGCACATGAGCATAGCAACAATACAATATCAACACCTTCATTTAGACAGCAAACAATTTGAAAATAAATGCAAATTACATGAAAACTGCTAGTCCTGCTTATTTCTCGCTCTTTATTACTCTTCATGCTAAGCAAGAGAAAGGGGAGCATCCAGCAGTGCTGAACTACCAGAAGCCATGTGTAAAACAAATCAACTATTCCTGTTAAGCACACTCATTTGAAATGTATATTTGAAATATCTGGGGGGTTTTTCAGAGAAACAAACCATATGTGAAAAAAGTAGACATGCATGTAGAGAAATGGTCATAGAAAAAAAACAACAACTTTGCTTTTTGAACTTATGTGCTGTACAATTTCTTAACAGAATGTCTGGAAATTAATCCAGATTAACTTCTGTCTACAAAAGGCAGGTTTTGTCCAGTATCAGCACAAGATGAGCAGCACTTAAGAATCTGTAACAAAAACAACACCCTGAAAGACTTGCAGTTTGAGGGGTCTGATAAATTGTAGATGGTGTAGACTGAGAGCAGCCCAGGGTGCAGCTTTCAGAGCAACCAAGTCCAGTGTGGTGGAGAAAGTTAGTTTAGGGTACATTAAAACTGAAAGCCTCTTCCTAGACATGAATGCACCCAGCTCATGTGAAGAAATGTGGCTTGCCATGGCATGAGACTTGACCCTTGTGTATTTGTAATGCTCCATTAGTGACTTTCTAACCCCCACACAGAGCCCTCCCCTGCTAAGTGAGTTCAATGAGCCCCTCATCAGCACTGCTTTCCTCCAGCTCTTCCAGGCTCAAAAAGAGCAACAGTCAAAAAACAAAAACCAAACCAAACCAAACCAAACCAAACCAAAACCCAAAAAAAAAAAAAAAAAAAAAAAAAACCCAAAAACCCCCCCCCCCAAAAAAAAAAAACCACAAAAAAAAAAGGGGTGCAGGGAAGGGGAAAAGTAAAGGCCGAGAAAAAGAACAAAATTAAAAAAGGAACTTGTATCAAAGCAACACTGCACATTGAGCATGCTCCATCTCAATCCCTGCCCCACGGCCTCACATCGCCACTTCAGCCTCATGTCTGGTCAGTCTACAATTTGTAAAGAGATTAAACACACTCAGAGGGATGCACTATCGCTCTCCTCCCAAATGTCATCACACTGAAGAACTGTTAGCCATCCTATGTACAAACCTACATGATATTAATATTAAATTTTAATTTTCCTCCTTTTTCTCCAGTTAGCCATCCAAACCAGAGGATTAAGAGCAGTGATTTGCTATTACTTAAGCAAGATTGTATATAGATAGATATAGATAGATAGATAGATAGATAGATAGATAGATAGATAGATAGATGTTTGTACATAATATAAAGTCTCTCTCATGGTCTTTTCCATGTGCCTGCAAATACCTGTCTTCCTCTGTCTATCCATCCCCACATAAAGGAGCTTGAAGAACTTCAGGGACCAGTTCCAAGGAATGTGTAGGGCATCCTTAATTATTCCGTTCTCTGTATTGCCTGGAAATGATTATGCTGATGGCTTTACAAAACTAATTACAGTTTAAACTTGCCATCTGCACACTAAATGTAACGGTTGTACACATGAGATTTTCTAATGTACAAACAAGACAGTTACACAAATTTAACATTTACAGGTACCTTGGTCTTTTTCAAAATGCTATTAAATTAAGTATCATAAAATACCTGCAAAAGTTATTAATAACTTCCTTCACATTTTGCTGATGTGAAGAGAAGGAGACAAGAACATGGAAGCACCAGGCTTCAGCCACAGGGTAAACCCCAGAGTGAGCTACAATGGGCAGTCAGGATTCCTGTGCTCTGACCTCTAGTCAGATTTACAGAGCCATTACACTGTGCCTTTACCTCCTTCTTTGAAATGCCAAATGACCCTTTGGCTGCTTTGCACAGTCTTGTCCTCTCTTCCTCAGGGATGAGCTTGTTATTTTGCTTCCATGTCAACAAAATCACACAGGCAGCACATGCATATGCATGTTTTAATCCCCATTCCCTTGCAAACTCTTTGGATCTCTGCCAGATGATCCCTGCTGCTTCATCCCTTAATGAGGCTGTTGCCCTCACTTGCCTTACCTGAACTGCTGTTTTTGTGGCAGCAGGCAAAAAGGGCATTGCCACACACATGGAGACAAATGCAAGAGACATCTCTTGGTTTACCGTGCTCTGATGGCTCTCTCAAGAGACATTCAAGGTAAAATTGATACTCAAATTGTCTTGTTCTGCTCCAAGACTGGACAGAAATCTAGTTTAATCAAAATCTTTCTGCATAAAACAAATTTCAGCCATAACTGTGGGCCCACTTATAACTTTGTACCACAACATATACAACATATGGATAAAAAACGCAAAGGCAGCAAAGAAGCATGCAAATGAGAATAGTTTAACAGCAGACGAAGAGTTCAGTTATTATGGTTATAATACATAACTACTCATGCCCTATTTAAATTACATCTTTGGGGTTTTTTCATCTCTATTCCCTACTCTTCTTTCTCCTATCAATTACTTATCAAAGCTCTTTTTTTCTCCCTGTTTCTAGCCTTGTTCTTCTCTTTCAATACTGCCCTTTAGCACTGAAAACCAAGGATTTTTAGTTCAAGATCTGATCTCAGATTCCTATATTTTAACAACAAACTATACTTTCCCCCAGACTGGTGTCTGATTTTCTTCAGGTAAATCAGAATGGGCACTTTACTCTCAAAGCAGTCCCTTTCCTGTCTCCTTGTACTGGTTTTGGCTGGAGTAGAGTTAATTCTCTTCACAGTGGCTAGTATGGATCTATGTTTTCAATTTGTAACAAACACAGAGTTGATAAAATAGGGATGTTTAGCAGTGCTTATCAGAACCAAGGCCTTTTTTGCTCCTCACACCATTCCCTCAGTGAGGAGGCTGGGGAAGGGCAAGAAGTCAGGAGGGGACACAGCTGGGACACCTGACTCCAACTGATCACAAGATATTCCAGACCATAGGGTGTCATGCTGTGCACACAGAACTGCAGGTAGAAGAGGAAGGGGGAAAAGTTCCAGGTGATGCCATTTGTCTTCCCGAGTCATTGTCACACATGATGGAACCATGCTGTCCTGGAGATAGCTGAACACTTAGGAAGCGGTGAATGAATTGTGTTTTGCTTATGTGTGCCATTTTCGCTTTCCTTATCAAGTAATTTTTATCTCAATGCATTAATTGTCTTGCTTTTCCCTTCTGATTCTCTCCCCAAACCCACTGGTTGGACAGTGCATTGAGCAGCAGTGTGATGCTTAGTTGCTTGATGCAGTCAGGAGTCTCTTCAAAAAACATTTCCTGTAAGGAAATTTCCCGGGTTCCATTCTGTAATTTTTCTTTAAGCATGTGCTGCTTCTTTACCACCAATCCAAATTATGTTGTCAGGTTGCTAGCAGAGGACTGTTTTTTAATTAACTTGGAAGCACAGTTTCAACTTAGTGTGTTACTCAAATAAGCTATTATTAAACATCTCTCATGATAATATAAGTTATATGATCCAGAGTGACTGAATTTTATATCAATGAGCAAGCACTGAACTTTATAGCTCATTTTCAATCTATTTTTCCTGTCCTCTTTTTTTAACATAAAAACAAACTTTGTCACTATAATGTACAAATATAGTGTGTTTGGAAGTTTTTATTACGTCTGTCAGTTTTTGAACTGTTGTTTACCAGGTTTTTAAGGGAACAGCATAAAATAGACTCATCTACAGAATTTTCCCTCTCTCCAAACACATAAAAGTAATTCAGTAATTTCCTGCATTGGTACCATGATTAAACAACTGCATTAAGCCAGCACTAATTCAACATATATCATTGTCACCTACTGTCTGGTGGATATCATCAAAAGAAATAAATAACCTCTTGCCCAGTTACTTAGAGTAATTAGCTCATATGACATACTGTGCCCTCTGTAAGTTTTCATGAGGTACTTTGCCCTGGTTTCCTGCAGTTTTTAAGTTACAAGGAGTTCTTTCATAGAATCATAGAACTTAAGGGTTGGAATGGACTTTACAGGTCCCAACCCCCCCTGCCATGGGACAAGATCTAGTCAATATCTAAGGGGATATAGAGAAACAGAATGTGGTAATTAGAATGACACAATTTTAAAGACCGATTGTGAGTTTGACAAGCCTTGGATCTCAGTTGGTGGAATGAAACCTATGTTTCTGATCCCAGGAAAGCTCTGAAATACTAGTTTCTAGTCCGGGATTAGAAAGTATAGACTCTTTGAGAACTGAGAAGAAAAAGAACAACAACAAGGCCTGGTTTCACTAGAGTACTAATCAAACAGATGTTGACAGAGACAGAAACAAGAAGACTACAGTTATCATCACTATATCAGGGCATTTTTTAGCTACTAACCTACAAGCATGGAGAAGACAAGAGTTGCACAAGACCACTTATAGTCAAAGAAGGACACCTAAGAACCTACAAATTGATCTCAAACAACACAAGCAGAGACAAAGGCGACACATAGGGCAGAATCTGACATTTTGAGGAGTTAAAGACTTGATCATCTACCTCTTTTATGAAGGGAATACAATATGGGACATTTGGCACTCTGGTCCAGGCCAATGCACAAGCAGCAAAGTTTCTAAGTTTCTTAGTAGAGTAGACATTCTAATGCTACATTCAGCTTTCTGAGGTACAGGTTTGAGCAGGGTTCTGTGTTAAAACTTGCCAACTATTCTCTCTTTTCCTGCAGAAAAAGAGAAATAATATTGTTTTTATTATGCTCTGAATCTGATCTAATTTCTAATCTAAGTGGAATGAAAGAAGAAAGCAGGGTGGTAACAGGGAGAGCTGGGAAAGTAGGGTCCTTATCAAAATGGCTTATATAATGTAATGTAATAGAAATCATGTCAACAGGC